TAGCTAGCCGGTATCCATGAGCATTCACAGAGAAGCATTGGAATATATGATTTAATTGGTAAGTATTGGTACTCACCAATCAGTCATTTTATTATTATTTAAATATTTCAATTAACATCATAATCTACTGCTTGAGCACTTTAGTTTTTCACGAATACTCATAATTCTCTCTCTTCCTTATGGAAGAATGATAAAAACCTACCAGGTGGGCTCTTTACAGAAATTGCATTTGACGACCTCCGTGGCCGAGTTGTTTGTACGCCGGGTTTCATAGTGTCACCGACTCGAGAGGTCCCGGGTTCAAATCCCGGTGGGGGCAGATGTTTGTGTGATGAATACGAGCATTTGTACTCCAGTCATGGATGTTTAATATGTATTTCTATAAAAATATAATTATATATATACATTATATGTATTCTATCCGTTACCCTAGTATCCCATAACACAAGCCTTACAGAGCTTACTTTGGGGCTAGGCTAATTGGTGTGAGTGTTGGAAATATATAAAAAAAAATGGGCTAAGAACTCACGGCGCGATTTTCTCCTGCATCGCGGCTGCGCGACTCGCGTAGAATGTGAAATTGTAGGTAAAACGCAAAATTCACGGCGCGATTTACGTCCGCAGAGTGCGCGGTTCTATGCAGCACCTACTATACAGCACCGTCTCGTGAGTTTAGAAATAAAACAGTGCTGCGGTCGTCCTGCGGCGGGTGCTACAAAAAACCACTTCGTGAGTTCTTAGCCATTCTCTTCAAAAATTGTTTAACCTCTTCAACCAAAATCCGAATATACACACTGATATTTATTGAACTGGTTTCATTAATAATGAAAAACATGCATATTGAAAATCTAATTTTTCGACATAAATAGGGACAACACTGAACATAAGTTTCCATCTCATAGGAACACTGTAAGCTATGCAAGCTAAAGTTGCTTCAGTTTTCTTTTTATTTACTGGATAAAGTCTATTTTGTACTTGTAAACAGCATTGTCATGTTCCAGACTGTCTGATTGAAGGCAACAAGTGTCTAAGTCATCATTTCCCTCGGTGAGCAAAGTTATAGTTTTCAAAGTACATAATATTGCCTCTATTTTCCCATAAAATGCATGGAAATTATTTGTTTCATGGACTCTATTGGAAGTTGAAACTAGTAAACCGATTGGAAACGAAAACGTTTTAACAATTAATTGGCGTTTTTCCAATAATCTATCTTCCGTTAGAGGAAAATTCGGCATTGATACAGTACCTATCTAATTACATATGTAAAAAAATTCGCAATTGTGTATACTTAGATAGGTACTTTAAATTACCACTGAAAAATAACAGCGGTTGCTTAGTATCAACAAATTTATGATTAACCTATCTGAACATACTATTATAAATACATAATTATGTAGAAGACGTACCTATATCTCACAACAAAATTCTTACGTAACCAGATACCTATAAGAAACAACTTAGGCAAATTCGGAGAATTCACCAAATTACTCAGTAAATGTGAATGTGCGATCCCTTGCCAAATTGAAAGTTCATCCTAAGGATTCCTATGAATTTCAATGCTAGATATCCTCTTGGGTGACTACAGAAAAATCATACGTGTGCGTAGGACATTAGGAGAAAGGGGTCGCGTCGTGGGCTTACCCGAGGCAATTTGATACCAAATGTCGTTCTGTACGTGCCACACAAATAAAGAGGAAGGGATGAAGCCCACATTATATTAGGAACTGTTACGAATACAATATCATTTCTTTGAGGAAGAGCTTTTGTGATGACGCTGACTAGAGAAGCTTACAAAATTGGATGGATGATATAACACTTATTGGACAATGTAATTATACTTTAGGATATATATAACGTTATAAAAGCTATTAATTTAAAGCCGGGATCATTTTTATAAACATACAGTAAAAAACAAGTTAGCGGAGCGCAGTAAAAGAGATACCTACGGTATACACGGTAGAGTGGTAGGGCACAGCGAATTTTCCACCAGGAAAGTAACCTTAATGATACAATTACAAAAGATTACGGTGGCTCCACAGCTAAAGGGACAAGGCGTTCAGGCCGCCACAGTGAACAGGAGCACGCGAGAGATTTAAGTATTTTATAATTAAAATTTATATTTTATTTTCATTTATTTGATAATATAAACAAAATACATAGAAATTCATAAAAAATAACACAAAAACCCACATTGGGTTTGTCCGGATACTGAGTCACTTAAGCCGTCAATACATAGTTTGATATTCGTAAATGATATACTTTTCCAGTTCTCGGCTGCTTATTATGAATATAGCAAATCATGAGATATTCAGTATTCAGAAATACTCGACAGTTAAAATATACCATGGAATTACACTGTTACGTCTTATTCATATCTTATTCATCAAGTTAAACATTCTATTTATTAACATAAATACTACAGTGTAATTTTTTTTATTTTAACCAACCTAAAAGTTATAAATAATTTTAACGAATATTGAAAAGAAAAACGTTTTAATCAAATTTATTTACAAAATCATAACCTAATTTGACTAAAAAATCGTAGACTGACTTCTCCTGCAGTCACGAGCCACCAGCCACCCAGATTAATGTTTCATCTCCGCTAAATGCACTTCGTTACTCTATTCCTACTTGACTTGATATTTGTAAGTGTGTATCTATTTTCACCCTTGGCCGTACGTCGTACCACCCTCCGCAAGATTTACGCGCCCGACGCGAGCAATAAGCGAAGGGCCCTGTGTCCCAGCCAGTTCGGTATTTTAAAAAGGTATGTCTGAATCTCGTGAAAAATTGCCTTCTTCCCACCCCTGAATCCGAGGCTATATATTTCGACCATCGCGTCGTGCATTCTATACGTCAGCTAGGACAGTACGCCTTATTCAAAACTTCTCGGCATATTAAATTAGTATTAACACATTTATAAACCCGTTTAATGTAACTCTGCAAATCGCATAGGTAATTGTGTATTAAAACTTGTATTATTCTGTTTGTCTGAATGTCAAATAAAGGTGGCGCAGGATGAAGTCACCACATAAATAGCCGGCACGAACCAGTTGGTATAAATGTTTACAATGATTTGCAGTTCAAGAAGTATAATGATACAATTTTAGGTGAAGTTTTTCTTGGGTTCACCCAAGTAAAACTTGCCCATTCCATCCATGCCATCCGGGCATGTTTTATAAACCTTCCTCTTGGATCACTCTATCTATTGCTTAAAACTACATTACCATCCGCTTTAGACACAGCGTACAGACAGCTGGAACGACTTTGTTATAAAGATGATTCATGTAACGAAATAAGACACTGACTAGAGCTTAGGTTTATTATGATATGCCTATGTGCATATACATTCATGTAGCACATACCACAGAGCATATATTTATTTAGTAAGTACCAATATAATATTTACCTTCATAAACAAGGAATGTTAATTCTATAATGTTCCTAAGAAATATTTGATTACGTTTTTGTCAAGTTTAATTTGATATGAGACAATAGTATTACCTATATGTGTATAGTTATATTGTATTCGATCAGATTGGTTAATATTTGCAAGTCTTGTTTTGGACAGCTTTGAATAACACAAAAAATCAATACAAATGCTGTGTTTCTTAACCATCCAATAAACATTCATTATTAAATTACTCAAGTGAGATTAATAAAAAAGTTGATTGATAAAAACATATATTTTAAGGTATTTACGTTCACAAAACATAAACGTTGCTTTCATAAGAAAATCATTACGAAATAACTATAACTATCCTTACATGGATGATTCTTTCATATGTTTCGATCGTAAAACGCATTAGCACGTAGTAGTGGAGCCGTCCAATATTGCGCCGGGCGGAATGCATCGGCTTTTTGTAATGTTCCAATAATCCAGGGATTAGGGCGGACGCTCAGCTATCAGCCATTTTCTTCTACGCATTTAATGCACCCCAACTTCTACGAATGACGACAGACCGACTTGGCACCGTGATCCTAAAGGGATTTACTTTAGCTGTTATGAGTATGTGCTTTTCATACTAGCATTAGTAATATCCGATCGTAACGTTTAATAAAAGAGTAATGAATACTATCTTTAGGTATTTTAAACAATAAATCCCTATTTCCTTAGTCATGACATAATTTTAGAATAACAAACGATATCGTGCATTTTTTTTAGTTTTCCAATTAAAACTGCGCGAAGCTAAAGTTAAAGGGAACTAAGTTATAGACAGAAGTTGTTAATAATATAGTAGCGAATACGATAGACACTCAAAACGCAGGATTCAGCTCATCAGGTGATCAGAGAAGAAACTTGGCTTTCAGCCATTTTCTTCCACGCATTTAATGCACCCCAACTTGCCACCGTCCGTCGGAATAACAACAGACCGTCCATCGTGTCGTCATTCTAAAGGGATTTACTTTAGCTGTTGTGTGTATGAGCTTTTCATACTTGAATGTCAACACTGAAAGTTGTAGCCAATTGTAACGATTAATAAAAGTAATACTACTATTGTTGATAATATTGTGGTGATAGACAATACGTCACATTCAGCGCATCTTGATGATATTTTTTTATTTATTTACCTACTTCATTCAAAATGATTATCCATATTTACCTCAAAGGTTGTTTAAGAAGCAATTTATTTGTAAATAATGCGTATCTTAACGAAGAAGGTACTTCGAACAACATTTGCAACGGAATGTTGCCAGCGCGCAAGTCGGCCACACCTCAGCCGCCGCCGGCGCAGCATCCTTGAAAGGCCACATTCCACCAGCAGTCTATTTACAGTCCGAGCCCCCGTTTCTAAGATTGCATATAAACAACATTTATCAACACCCGAAATCAATTACCCGCACAAATTACATTTCGTAACAGCATCCACTAGCCGTTTCTTAAAAATGAAAGTACTTATTCAAATAACAATGGACTTGCTGATTGATAGGCCGCGCCTGTTTAGGAATAAATTAATGAAAAGAGGCGAGTCTTTAAATTTATCTTTTTATTGTTACAGAATATCCTGGATAAATTTAATCCGGGTGCCCGGCAGATGATAACGGCTGGAAAGGCGTATCTGAAAGCTTTGCACGGTGAGTATTCAAAAATAGAGATTTATACAATGTCATCACTTTTAAATCAATTGTGAAGTAAGCTAGATAAACAGCTGCAAGCGGAACTGTTAAATTGCAAGTAACTCTGTAATGTAATAAGAATCTTAGAAAGTGAAACTGGTCGCGAGTCCAAAATGTTTGTGTGGTGACGTCTGTTTAGTGAAACGTGGACAATTAATTTATTTAGTGTAAGCGGAATGGGCGCATCTATATGCAAAACCTCAGAGTTCTACGCTTGCTTGGCTACAGAACTGGGACGTAGTTTGTGCCAAATTGTCTCTGTTGGCTTATCTACAGTATTATGCCCGAAGCTGTAGTAGCAATAAACTTGGGCGTTGTGCACGATGTATGGCCCTTGGAGGTCGTTTCTACTTTATTTTGGGGCTAGTTTGCGGTTAATTTGTTTCATTTTACAACAATTTAATGTCCCACTCTTTGCTTGATATCAGATAGAACGAATAAGTAAAACTTATTTGATGCCCACTAAACGTAAAAGCCATGTTATTCAGTAATAACATAGATGACATGTAATGTTCTCTCATTTGAGCTTTGTTTTGTTTCATAATTACCTCAAAGCATGAAAAAAGTTGGAAACTCCAAGGAAGTACAAGATATTTATGTAGCAGTAAAATCGAAAAAAAACATCTGCCTAATGTTTACACGAAGAGAAAAGGCTTTGGGAAATATAAAAGTCAAAAAATTATAAGTGTGTAATAATGAAATAGAATATCACTCCATCCGTGATCTAAATAACGAGCGAAAGTATTTCATATTTCTTCATCCTACTTGGAATATAGTAAAAAAAAAATATTTAACTTGTAATTTTTAATTTTAAGTGACGTCGCCACGTCGTCTTATTTTTCTGAAATAAGAAATATAATAAGCACATACGAGTTTGTGTATATCACCCGATTGAGCACGCTTATAACCAAAACTAACCGAATTCTTAAAATTATATTTTAATTCTTTTTAAAGGAGCTTGGCCTCGAATTTAATACATACATAAATTTCGATAAAAAGTATGCATGCGAATTCTAGGTGAATTACCTTGTTAGCAATTCAGCTAGAGAATGCTGTCTAATCCAAACTTGGCTAGCGATCAACTACATACTAGTTCGGAACTAAATTATTTAGGTGGAAACTTAAACAGTTTCAATTTTTAAATTGTACGGCCTACTTACTAATTGAGGAGCGGCAGTTGTTGGAATCAGAGATAGATATATCGGTTTTCTTAATACACGCACAACAAACACTCCTATGCTAAACAATATCCTTAGTGAAAATAAAATATTATTTAAATCTAGTCACATAGTATTTAAATCTAGTCACATAAAGGATATCAAGGTGATTGCACTTAACCACCCACATAGATAAATAATTAATATTCAACCTTCTAACATTTTTGAAGTGAAGAAAACTTAAAAAATTATATTAAATTCAAAAAAAAAAGTACAAAAAAATATGATGCGGTCCGGAAAGCAGAAGAGACTCAAAGCCGCAACCTCCGCTATCTGGGTGGATGCACTGAGCAATTATGCTACCGAGACCTTAATGACCGTGTCAAATTTCTTCTAGTATTTTGTAGGCTGCTGTAGCGCCATCTCTTTGCATTATAAGTAACCCACTATATATTTTATTTTTGTTTTCGTAGGAGCTGCGGCGGCATCCAGATTATATGTGGACGCGGTAGGAAAACTAGGAAGGCAAGCGCAGCAAGGCACATGGGGAGGATGCGCCGACATCGGTAAATTTTGATCTATTTTTTATGCGAAAAGAGTGGCAAACAAGCGCATGGTCTGCCTAATGTTAAGCAGCCACCGTAGCCTGTAGATGCTTGCAATACAAAAATATCACTCGCACCGTTTACTAACCTGCGACATTCCTCAACCCGTGGAACCCTGAAACCTTACTCACCGACAGAAACACAACACCACCTAAGGATTACTGCGATCCCCTGTAAGGTGGATGTTGCTTCCCCGGACGCCCGCTCCAATCCGAGTGGAAAGCCCACTATGCCATACCTCTCCGTATTTATACAATTTATCATCTAATAAAACTGTTTTGACAACTTCGATCTCTTTATAATTACAAGAGGAGCTAAATAACAAAAGCGTAAAATGTTATTCAAATCCAATAAAGAGAGCCACAGTAATCCCACCAGAAGTAATTTATTTTTCAAAAAAACATTATTTGAAATATTTTTCTAATGTTAACATTACAATAGAATCTATATCCCGATTTCCTAGAATAAAGGTTTTTTCCCGAGTTCAACTCTGTGTGTTAGTTAACAACTATTGTGTACAGATTATCATTTGGTCCGTTGGTTACAAAAAACCGAATTTCATCGTACTTGGTAACGTCCTCCAACCTTTTAGATCATAATCCTCTTAGTGCCATTAAAATCCTCACTAACAAGAAATAAAAGAAAACGCCAGCAACTTTCGTTGGGTACTTACTGTTTGATATCCATTGTACGTATATCTTAACGCTAGGAAACTTAAGAAAATCTATTTCTAATGAATCTTCGCTGGTTCTATTGAATTCCATAATATCATACATATCTTTGGGACCCAAAAAATATTACTCTTATTAAAATATTTGTAGATACAGCTATATAAATTTCAGTGCCATTATTCGTCAAGAAGCTTTGTTTATCAGATCATTTTGTTTATTGTGGAAGTGGCATGGCAGGTTTTATTTTTGAATGAGTTTTATAATCATGTTCAGTTTTATAAGGTACTAAGACACATTTTTTAATACACAATGTTTTAAAGGTACTGCTCTGATGAAAGTGGTGGAGGTCTATCGAGAAATACAAGATCAACAAATGAATATTGTAAGTAAATATATATTTAGTTATGAATTGACATAATTTTCGTTGTATATGACTATCATTTTGTAATCCCTGAAATTAACATGAAATTGATAATTATACGTTTGCTACGTAAGTACAAGGCTAACGTCTGAATCTTGTTATATTTCTTATTAAAGTAATATTTAAATTATTCTTATTTAAAGCATTCGTTTCGTAGTAAGTACGGAAATACAGAAACTCATTATAGTTAAACGAATTAAACAACTGGGCAGGTGTTGATTCCGTTTACAGAAAAGTAACTTTCTACACCAGGTGTGCGATAATCTAAAATTCAATAAAAGTTAATTAAGAATTCAAATAGACAAACATTTTACCAAGTTTGTAAAATTTAGTTACTTTAAGGCAAACACTATAAATTATTCAAATATTTAAAACAACTTAAGTTAAATCGATCAGAAACGTGTAATTTCCGATTAACCTAATTCTCTGCATTTGCTCATCTTATGCCTGTTTATAGGAATGCCCTTTGTGATCGTACTCAAGTACACCAATTAATAGTGCTACATACTAAAATTATTAATTTAAAAGTAATTATACGTCTGTTACGCTTGCACTGAGCTTTTGATGAATTTTGTTATGGAGACTAAGGCCGCGTTGTTTCATCCATAGACAGTTACTTTAAGACAAACACTATACATTATTCAAATATTTAAAACAACTTAAGTTAAATCGATCAGAAACGTGTAATTTCCCATTAGCCTAATTCTCTGCATTTGCTTATCTTACGCCTGTTTAAAGAAAATGCCTTTTATAATAACAATAATATTCTTTATTGACATACACCACACAGGACATACAAGATATTAAAGATGACAGTGAAAACGTACACAATGGGCGGCCTTATTGCTAAGCAGCAATCTCTTCCATTTTCTTCTCTTTTATGATCGTACTCATTTCCTATGATGATGATGATGGATGTCACGTCAAATACATATTAATGTTATTTTTATCTCTACTATTTTAACTATCAGATAACATCAGATTTAGCTATGGATGAAACAACGCGGCCTAAGGGTACCTCGGAAAAAGATCACTCCGGCTATTTATTTTTTATCGCTAAATTAAAACTTGAAGGGAGTTAGTAAGGGATGAGTGTTTTTATGGAAAATCTTTTATTTTACGCGGACAAAGTAGCAGCATTAACTAGTTAATTAATAAAACACTTCAAAACAGCTTTCTAGAGTGTTAAATGGATTGCTTACATACGTAGTTCTTAACATTTGTAATCCTTATCACACTCTTTGGTTATAATACAAAAGCCTGAAAACTATCAAAAACGCCAAAAGTTTATGTAAAAACTGTTTAAATATTTTATTAAATAACTTCATCTCAAAAAGGTTGAGGTTATTGATCCAACTGTTGTGTTTTTCTATACTAATATTATAAAGAGGAAAGATTTTTCCTCTTTCTTATAAAATATGTTTAATACAAGCGTGACAAAAAAAGTATTGATATCTTCTAAATATAAAATTCTCATGTCACGGTGTGCGTAATTGAACTACCCCGAAACAGCTCGAGCGTTTTTCGTGGAATTTTATATGCATATTCAGTAGGTCTGAGAATCGGACAACATCTATTTTTCATCCCCCTAAATGTTAAGTCCACCCTGAATTTCTTTCTTTTTTTGGACATTTTGTTATGTTACCTCATACAGAAATACATACAACTCTAAATTTTCACCCTTCTACCACCAACCCTCTTTTTTTATGGCGGTACGAAGTTCGCTGGGACAGCTAGTATATATATTTATATTACGAGCGACCAGTCATATATTTACTTTAGCGACTATGTATTTACTATACACTACATACGTTCTAAATTATTTTGTTTTTAAACAATATCTGATCGGTGTTTGTGATTTGCAGCTGAAGGCGTTTTATGTGGACTTACTCGTGCCCTTGGAAACTAATCTGGAGAAAGATACTAAAGTAGTGCAGGTCAGTCAATAAGATTTTCTCCTTTTCATATAATCTTTTGTGTGAAAAGTCCCTTATATCCAGGATTGTTTACTACTAACAGGGTGCAGGGTCTCAGTTCAAATAAGCTTTAGTATCCCGAGAGATAAGAATTTATATTAAAAAAGTTTTTGGACGAAACGAGTAGTATTTTTGTGCGGAAGTGTTATCGTCCCATTGAAGATAAATAAGGAAACGGTATTAACGTCTGTGTAAGCTTTTTAAGTTAATAAGGTACGATGTTTTCTGAAAGATTGTCCGAATAATAAAATGTTCCAGAACTGCACACAGTTGAGGAAAGGTTGTTTGTTATTGATGGTATTTATATCTCAAGCGGTTGTAAACATAGCGGATATAAAAAAATAATGCTTCATTTAGTCACGTGCAGACAACACGTGACTGAATGAAGCATTAAATTTTCTATCGTTATACCATATAAAGAGGCAGCACCTACTTTAATTGGTAAAAATAATAATTGATGTCTCAGCATATCAATTACATGATATTATTATTTTTAACGTTGTTACTCCATTAAAACCAAATAGTTCATTCAATTATTTGTTCATTTAGCTGATTTATACAAAACTCAAATTGTACTGATATAAATAAGGCGGCATAAGTTTAACCGAGGTCTCTCTATCTTAATTTATAATAACTTTTTATTTCTAAAGAAAATTTTACTACAAAAAGATCCAGGTTTCAGAGGGGTTGTGGACCGTGGCGAATTTTTTCTAGTAAAATAATCTTAAGATTTAAACAAATAGCAGTCAAATGCTTTAAATATAGAAATATAATAACTATATATTTGTTTTAGTCGGAACAAAAACGTTTCTTACAACAACACAAGTTGCGATCAGAGAGCTACAGCAAAGCTGCTGCTACAATAAAAAAGCAGCGCAAGAAGAAGACCAATGTCACCAAAGTCGGTACCGCTATGGACAAAGAAATGAAGGTAAGACACACACACATCTGATTAATAAAAAAATAAATATTTTCTAACACACACCAATTAGCCTAACTCCAGAGTAAGCACTGAAAGGCATGTGTTATAGGATTGGGAAAGGAGGTAACAGATAGAATACATACACTTAATTATATCTAGAAATACATATAAAAAAACGAGCGAGCCTTACAATAGTCGCGTATCATGTGTAACATTTGAAACCTCACCTTATATTAGTAAAAAAAGAAATAAAACCTACTACAAAAGGAATAAGCCATTTGAACATTATGTTTTAAAATCAAATCAAATAGCGCGCGCTTTCGCAGCTTCCTGTTACACACTTCCATCCCATTTCACGAAATCACTCCCACAAATTACAGGAAAGCGAGAGAAAAGATCTTACACATCAAAAATATCTATGACTTAGGTAGAAATGCTCTTATTCATGATAGAAGTATTTGTTCCACCGTGACTTAAACAAGGCACCTCTTGAGTAGGCGACACGTTGAAACCCGGCGAACATATCACTCACTTCACGAACGGAGGTCGGCAATAATGTACTTTGGCGAGAGAGAATATAATTCAGAAATCTTAATGCTCACATAACTACCCCAGCAATCCAATAGAAAATATAGGAAAGTTGGTCTTTCACATTCATATACCGGAAATAGAAGATCCTCAAAGACGTCGAAACCAGACAACGCGACGTCGGTCGCATGGAAATCTTCAAAATATATTCTATTTAACTTGGGTTTTACTATAAAATGCAAATCTAAATTCACTCGCTGTGGAAGTACAGCAAGTGAATTTAGATAAATTAAGTATTAAATTCATACCGCTCGAAATTGTATTAATGATAGTTTACACGTGGTCGTAAGCCCGAATACGAGTGCCATGAGTAAATGAATGGAGACGAGGACGTCTGTATACGGGTAGATTTCCTTTTGTTTACCCGACACCGTCTTCCTGTCCGTATTCCAGTTTAAATATTGCTTCGGATGTCCGAATTCGAGTAACGTCTTTCGTGCACCCTAATATGGGCAAACGGCCAAATGCAACTGCGGCATAAAATTTGCATCTTGCGTTCGGCACCTCACGCACTAGACGACCACGACCACGGCCAGTGGCCGCAACGACCAGATTAACTAAACAAACCATATGAATGTGCGCGAGGTCCGATCTGAGCCGCAGGTTCGATTCCAGCCTGACATGTCAGCTAAGTTGAAAATTTTCAGTAAGTTTAATAGTAAGTACAAAAGTTGAGGTATCCTTATTGGTCAGATCAAGGTCCCAATATTTCTTTTCAATTTCGTTTTCATTTAAGAATTTTTCCAAAGACAACTTATCTTCTCATCAACTTTGTCCTCAAAAGTATAATAAAAAAACCATTTTGACTGTGTACTTACTGTTATCTAAAAATAATTAACAAATGTCCATTGATGAAAATATACCTTAAAAAACTAAATGTTCTTACGTCACACACAGCCTTGGTGATAATGAAGACCGGCGATCCAATCTTAATTCAAATTAATCCGGAGTCTACAAAATCTCTCTCGTTCTGTTTATTTTACAATTCACCATCGTTCAGTTTTGTTTTCACGCATTTTAGCCGCGTGCCTCCATTTTATTTACACTTTTTTTTTACTTGCAGAACATGCAAATATTGGAAGAGGAAAAGACAAAATTGGATGCGTTTTGTGAACAAAGCTTGAAGAATGTAAGTAAATAAAACAACGTTTTAAATTGTCAGATCCTAAAATAGGTTTTCGTGTAATTTTAACGTTTCACAAACACTATAATCCATATAGTTAACTTTCTAAAGTAGAAAGGATGAAATTGGAAAACTTTTAAAGTAAAAACTATAAATGATATTAAATTTTTAACCTTAAAAACCATTTTCTCAAGCTCTTACTGCATTATACACTAGGACAGCAGAATAGAGGACTATAGTCCTCCACAACCATCACTACACCGTACACCTTGCTGATAACGGTTGCTAAGGACTGTTAATGCTAGTACTTACCAACACCCTGACTTGACATGTCTTCTGTACCCTTAGCACGAACCAATATCGAATTCGTAACGTTTGCGAGTTCGAAATGTCATTGTCAAATTACCGATTTTTAGTTCTCGTTACGTACATTGTGCCGCTGCTGTTCAAGTTTCCATACAAAATTTGACATTGACATTTCAGTTTGCAAACTATTCGAATTTGATAATGGTTCGTGCTAGGGGTACCGAAGGAGAAAGCGCTCGAGATAATAAATTTTCATTAACATAAACGATAGCGGGCCTTTACAAACGCTTCAACTATAGACTGTTCTATGAAACACATTCTGCACAATTCACAAAAGGAGGAGGTTCTATGTTCGAGTTTGTTTGTTCTTTTACGTTTAATAATTTCTTCTTTTATCGAAGGCGATGACCCAAGAACGCCGCCGGTACGGTTTCGTCCTCGAAAGGCAGTGCTCTCTCGCTAAGCACTGGCTGGCTTACCACAGCGCCGGGGCGGCCTCCTACAACGCCGGCTTGGAGGAATGGCTCGAAGTGTCCAGGAGTAGGGAGTATCTGCCGCCCAACGTGGAAGCTATGTTCATCAGCAGAATGAGGGTAGGCAAAATCGTGCGCTAATATGCCACTAATTAAGTTAAGATTATTGAGTATGTTTTAAAATAAAGCAAACGTGAGTGTCGTGGAACACTCGCTTGGAACGAAGGTAAAAATACGTGTAAGTGCCCAACTACACAATCTTATTTTTTTTCGCCTAGACCCCATCCGCCTAGTCCGTACAGTGCGATAAGGAACTTCGTTCCAAAAATTGTCGTCGTTGTCTGACAATGTGCCATGCCACGATCTAAGTAATGTATATGGTAAATATTATACATAAGTATAAAGTTTTAGTAGTTAAATGAATAATGCGTTTCAGATTTTAACATTGTTTGCAAGTATCTCAGTAATATATTGAAAATACTCGAAGCATGTCGCGAGTGTGACACTGAGCTCAGTACTAACACACGGGTGTTACTTTATTTGATTATATTATTGACACAAAGCATCCGTCCTGTAAACACCACAGATGGACACGTCGCTAGTTTGATGGTCCAACAAATTGTTTTTCAGTAACGAATATTTAGATAACAATGCATCTAAAATAGTCCGTGTGCTTTAATAAATTGAAAGTATTTGCCTTATGTTAAACGAGTTGCAGACAAGCTTATTATATCTAGTCGTTTAGTAAGCGCTAATAGCGTATATCATAGCCTACAGACGCCTGCGGTACTAAAGAGCACTACTACTACCCTTAAATTTTAATTATATTTATTACATATGAGGACCTGACAAAAATACACCACTAAAATGTAGCGTTATCTCACTATATACCATCTATTTACCGAACAACTATAATAGGTATATATTTATATCATTCTCAGTTGAAATGTTATCAGCACATTTTGAAAATTTTCAATTTGGTAATTATAATACTTCATGTATGAATAAATAAGGGTTCAATTTTAAACACCTCAATAATATGACAGGACATTTCTGACGATATTTATCTGTTGAGTTTCTTATAGCTGAACATTAAGAAAACACATTTACAACCCCGTTTCGTATCCTACCGTCACATCCCATAAAATGTTTCTTCACTAACGCAAAATTATATTTATTGCTTCTTATAACGTATATGGGCCATTTAAATGTCATATTTACGGAAAAAACTGGGAGACATTGTATCCTTATCAATTGTGCCCCAAATATAAGAGCGGGGAGCGTCATTGAGCTGCCTCAACGGTTATGGTTATACAACATAATTAAAATCGATTTCCTATATTGTTACCTATTGAATGTTGATATGGTTTGAAAAAGGGCCATTACGATAAAGGCAAAATTTGGAGCGCTCTGTATATTGACAATGTCGGTTGTCCCATTTATGGTGCTTTTTTCCTAATTTCTATCAGACGAAGAAAAGGCACACCAAATTAAACTAATAAAATCTAACCATTGCTTTTGATCTTGTAATGAAAGACTTGGAATAATCATTTTGTTATCATGTTCGACGATGATTAATTTAACTTTAAAGTAATTCAATAACGTAAATTATTAATATTTAATTGAGGGGTTATTGGAAATGGTTTTAGGTGGTAAAACAGATGGAGAGCCGCAGGGGAAACTTCACCACGATCTGTGACTATAGAAAACGTACAATCTATGTCTAATACCCATTGTGTTTTATAATAAGATTAAGAGAGGAAGGGAAACATGCAAGTTACTCTCATATTAGAGAAGTTTGCCTAGAAATCTATGTCACTATTAATGTTTTCTTCTAAGGAATTTTTAATAGGTAAGAAATTTTCTTTATCCAAAGTTGAACGACTATGTATATATAACGTAGATGATGAAAAAAAATCATATCAAGGTTATACATATGTAGGAGATATAACCAAAAATTTTTTTTTTCAAAATTTATTTTACCATTTTGTCGGCGTAATCGATATACATATCTCCAAAAAAATACAGCTCTCTAGTGCTAATAGTCTCCAAGCAAAACTGGGGACGGACAGACGGACATGACGGAACCCTAAAATACATTCTTGATAATTAGATACCTATTGTAATCGCCTCTGTACTCAGAGATGTTTAATAAATTTGATGGCATGTAACTTCACGTATTGTCATATTCTATTGGATTGTAAAGAAAACGCTAGAACTGATTTTAATCCAATTCAAGAGTTACCTGTGTAGTCGAATTACAGCATCTATTTGAAAAAAATATTTTATCGGTAGCAAGCTACATTATTCCGAAATAACATAGATTATATTTAATCACATTAAAATAAATTTCTCCCTTGCAAAGCAGACCCGGGATGCTAGTAGAGAAAATAACTTTGATGTCTTGTCAACAGCAAGTGTCTTTCTGGGCCGATGAAGACGTGTACGCAAGTCCAAGAGCTGGTGACGATGACGACCGAGCGTCCGTGGGTTCGGCCTTGAGGAAGACTCGTTCAGTGGACGCTTCATGCCTCGACGTCCGGTCTATCGCAGACTTGGGGTCACCCGCTCAAGGTCTGTCAAGAGCGAAATCCGACTTTAATCTGCAAGCGAGCACTCTCACCGATGAACCAGGTAAGTCAAAGCTCTAGAACATTATTAACTATCTTCCAATACCATCAAAAGACTCCAAATATTTGATTAAGAAAAAGAAAAGATAAACATTTTAAATCATGCCCTACTGCAAAAACTGGCAAAGCATTAAATTAAAAGTCGAGGCACATCTCAGTCACCGCAGATTTATGAAAAGCTTTTACGCTTCGATTCGCACAAATAGAGATATGATAAACTGTTCACAAACAAACATATTTACTGATCCCTATAATTATGTTGAGATAAACTTTAAAGCTTTGTTTTTGTAAATACACAATCAATACAAATAAAAAGTACTAAAAGATTACCTAGTTAAAATGTACAATATTAAAGCTCAAAATACCTACACCACCTATAGAAAAAGTTCTTGTCAACAAAATCATTTATTCCTCAGATACCGATGCCCGTACTGCTACCCGTCCGTCCTCTCTCGCCCCTCCGACGTGCACTAGCCGCGACCCGCCATTAGCCCGCGCCCTATACGCTTACGCAGCCGCTGGCGACAACCAGCTCAGCTTCCAGCAAGGCGATATGCTCGCACTGCTAGGAGAACGAACCAAGGGATGGCAGTACGGCGAGAACCTCCGTTCCCATCAAGCTGGCTGGTTCCCGTTGGCTTACACCGAGCCCATTACTACTGATGAAATAATGTAAGTTGATCGACAACCAGCTCAGCTTCCAGCAAGGCGATATGCTCGCACAGCTAGGAGAACGAAGCAACGGTTGGCAGTACATGTCATTGAAGAGGTTTCACTTTATTAATATGACTCTATTAGGCTCTATTAATATGACTCTTATTGATGCCTAATATAAGCAAGCGGTAAAGATACGATTTTCATAGAAGTTGCACTAAATCACAGCCTCACAGGTAGAATAGGTGACGATAAAAAACAACAACAATCACTCGTAGCTAATTGCAATACCAAACGTCTACACTAGCAGCTCTTCATGATCATCATCAGCCTATTAATGTCCCTACTGCTGGGGCACAGGCCTTCCCTATGGATGGAATAGGGAGATTGGGCCATGACCCATCACGCGGGCCTAGTGCGGATTGGTGGGTGTTAACGACTCCATATGCAGCCGGGACCAACGGATTAACGTGCCTTCCGAAGCACGGAGGAGCTTGAGATAGTAAATTTTTGGTCACCCATCCAATGACCGACCATTGCGAAAGTTGCTTAACTTCAACGTTTGCAGCCTAACCTAACCTAACCACCTGCGCCATCGAGCTCTTCAGCCCGCTGAAGCTTCGTAATCCTAATCATCGTCTTCAAAATATCCAACAGCGGCAGCTCTCTAGCCCGCTGGAGTTGCGCGCAGACCCCGAACGAACTGCCCGTGTCAGTCGCGCATGCGCAACCCTCTCCGAGGACAGAGAACTCAAAATCCATTTTCTATGTGTATGCATTATTATTTTTGTTCTAAAAAAACAACCAAGTCTTGAGATTTAAACATTTAGCAATTAAATTTTAATAATAAAAATATTACATTCAACCTTGTTTGTGTAGTGGCAGCTCCCCCGCCCGCTGGAGTTGCGCGCAGACCCCGAACGAGGGGCCGCCGCCTGCGCCTGTCGCGCACGCGCAGACCACGCCGAGCACGCCGTCGGTACACGCGCACCCGCCTACCAGGATGTTCGGCGACACTGTCACTGCGCATCACGTTAACAAGGTAATGCCTTGTTATGGATTTCATGTTTAAAGCAATAGATTAATTTAGATAAAATGACCAAAGTAACGTTGGCATATTAATGATAATCCCATTTTTAAGGAAAATGCATAGCAAATAGGCATATAGCTGACCTGATGGTAAGCAGCTTCCATGGCCTAAAAAATACGGTGATTTTAATGGATCACTTGCGTGATGTCTACCCTAACCCCATCTCTTACCCTGCAGGGCCTTGTTCACTTACACACCGCCACCGAAATATCATACCTACCACAAAAAGGTTGTGTAAATTCAAGCTTCTCTTAAATCGAAAGGTGCTCCAATTTGAGCAACAAATTTGCTATGCCGAACTTCTCTCATCATCTTATTTGACACATTCATGGAATCAAAATTAAAAATTCATTTTTTTTAACCTGTGAATTTTCTTTACATAAATTAGGATCTAAAAGTTACATTCGTTATTCATAACTTATTATCAATATTCACTTTTCAATCATTCATCGTAATCGACTACGCATTGATATTTCGAATGGGTCTTCAGGGTCGCCTAGGGAGCGGGTCGCCGGGGCTCCCACCTACTCTGCCAGCGCCATCGCCAAGCGCTCTCAGCTCATCAGCTAGCGCCACTTTCCACGCATCCACACCAGCCTCGGCCCCCGGAAACGCCATCAAGAACTCAACGTCAGCTGCTAGTTTCACGACACATGCTATTATTGAAACCCGTAGCTTTGGACCCCAAACTCTCCCTATGCGCCAGGTAATAATTGTCAATTGCAAAAATATTAAATGTGTTGTTACCATTCATTGCAAATTAAGTGGCTCGCAGTTGTTGATATTATGTCACGAGTCCTTAACAAAGTAATTACATCATGTAGCTGATATCAGTTCAATTAAAGTATCGACCCATAAGAAAACAAAATGTTTATTCATTTATCCCATTCCAAATTTAATTGTATGTGTACCAATAAAACTATAAGAATCAACTTACATTTCCTCAACATCAAGTGAAATAATGGTATAATATAATACAAACATGTATTTTTTTTAAACAGGCGACACAGAACAAAGCAGGCCCAGCTAAAACAGTAGTATCAGCTGTAGGTGCTGTCGGTAATGTCTCGCTACACAGCTCCAACGACTCAGGCTTCTCAAATGAACCTCCTCCTCAACCTGATGTTGATTACAGTGATGAAGAAGCTCAAAGACTACGTGTGCCTATAAGGTATATATCAATTATAAATGTAGTTTCACACTTGATAGTTTGCTTGAATGATTGAGTTGCTTGGCTATTTCTTTGTTTATTTGTTTTGTAGTAGTATTTATTTCATTTTATTTTTCCCTCGTAGTAAATCTGCTCAACAAAACAACGAACATAGAGCTTACATGCTTAAAACTCAAAGCTTGAGACGTGGACCGAAGCCAAACAGTCAGGCAACCAATGGATATTTAACAGATGATCAACAAATAATGCTTCGTAGCATGCTAGATATGGATAAAGATTCGCAAAAAGTTAAACGAACCAAATCTTTTTGGAAGTTTGGTCGTACAACATCTGAAGAAATAATGGAGGGAATGTCACTTTGGCAGCATCGTGACATCGTCGATACGGTACCTGAATACAAAAAGAAATTATTTGTAAAGATGAAAAAAGAACTAAGACCAGCTCCAGATATACCTGAAACGCGTAATCCTGCTAGTCCAGAGAAATCTCCTCCACCGGATAACGTACAGATACGTCCAAAGGAAACAATAGATCGAAAAGAGGTTAAAACTGTTAACGGCATACGTCAAGCGAGAAGCTTAGGTTCAATCCAAAGTGAAGAAAATCAGGATAAGCCTAGAAAAGGAAATGAAATGTACAACCCACAGCAGCAAAACAAAGTCATGAATAAGAAAAGCATGTCTGAAAAATCTATTGTAGAAGAGAAACAGGAAGATTTTATTCCTAGAAATGAATCCAGGCATTCTGATTTAACAAATACCAGCACCATCAAAACAAACTTTGAAAATAGCTTTTACAATGACGAAAACGGCGAAGGTTTTGTTATGAAAACAGTAAAGCGCAGAGAAATTCTACAAAGATATGACAATGACAGCAGTTCTGATGTCAATTCTGTTGCTTCGAGTACTGATCCTTATGACTGCATTATAGTTGATGATCATATGACTTCAAGGAAGCAACAAGAACTTGACAGACGTAGACAAGCTGAAATGATGGAAGATGAAGTAAAAAAACGAAAGGAGAATGCCTATATGCCTGAGTTTGAAGAAATCGAAGTTACTCCCATAAAACCACATGTTCGTGCTACTTTATCCTCCGAAAAGGTCAAAAAACCATCGCATGAGAGAACTCCACCGAAAGCTATGGAATTCAAAACTTTTAAAGACAGTTCTAAAGAAGTCAAGGCCTTTTCTGCTTCTTCAGAAACATTGAAGTACAAAGATGACCAACAAACAGATCGCTATGGAATTCCTACTGAACGTAACAATAACGAAATCCGTGATGATGATGCTTATAACGGACATGACGAAGGAACTCTTAAATATAAAAAGCGTTCAAGCAAAGAAGAAAAAAGTCGTAATCAGAATATCATGGAAAATGGAAAGAACTATAAGAGAGAATATCCCCAAGCAGAAGCAAGGTCACCCAAAAAAGAGGTTAGGCCTTATGAAAATAGAGAACCACGTATCGACTATTCATTAGACAGGCGCCAAATGAGAAAAGAGTTTACTGAAAAAACAAGGACACAAGAAACAAGAAGTAAAAGTAGAGCGAATAGGAGTTATGATGATAGTACATTACCTTACAATGGTCGTAGAGACGAAAGATATTATGAGTCCAACATTTCATACTTCAGTGACCAGGAACGTCGAGTTTCTCGTTACGATTACGAAACCGATTCAAAAAAGGCAGAAAAGTCTAAAATTCGCTTAGAAGAAGCAAAGTTGGAAGCTAGACGATTCATTGATCGTAGGAGTGAAGGCCCGTACAGCGAGTCTGATGACCAGAAATTTAATGAGGCGTTGAAACAACAAAGGCCGCAGCTATTGCCTCGTACAAAATTATTGAAACGAACGGCAGATGGGAACGAATTACCCGAAGAAGGACATACATTTGGGCCATGGTATGATTTATGGGGCCGCGAAACGGCAGTCTACAAATAAAATTTAATTAGTATTTAGTTTTTCAACGAAATTGTGTTTATTTTTCGATATTCTATAAGCATGTTGTTATTCATTTCTTCAGTTTTATTGCTACTTATAGTGTTTATGTTTTGCCTTTTATTAAACGGAACACATAACATGTAAATAGGAACACGTTGTCGATTGTTTATAAAGCTAGTATTGCCGAAATTATAAATTCTTAAGACATTATTAATATTGCTGCTAATGAATTATAAATTAATGACATAGTTAACTTTAGCTTGTTAGAAATATTACAAACAATTAAATAATAATAAACATTTAAACAAATTAACATTGTTGATGTATTCGGATATACAATTCGTTTTTGTTAATTTAGTTGTTGAAATGGAGAATCGAATTTATTTTATATGAAAAGAACGAGCATTAGATAGTGATATTTAAATGTGTAGTATACTTGTATTCTAACAATATATTTGTAACCGCACACAGGCCGCAGCAGTTTGCCACAGTTAAGCTACGGAAGACATTAACAAACGATAGGTCTTCGCCCGCCATCGAGTAATGTTTTATATATACTTAATAATGATTTTATATTATTATTTTGTTAATTAATATTAAATGTACATTAGATATACCGTGTATTTTGTACAGTTAAATATTCATAGTTTAACAAAGATTATATCACAATTTTTACATTAATGGATTATGGTGTTTTCTTTCATTGCTTCTTTATAATATTTTGAGTTGTACGAGAGGACTACTATGCCCCATACTTAGGTACTTAGCGCATAATAAATGGTTCAAATATTCAGTTCCAATTTTTTTAGTTTATAAGTTGAATATGTCGAATATGAGTCGTACAATAATCTAATATAATAACCCATAATAAAAAGCTTTAAGAACTTAGTTAAAGACTAGAAGCGAGTTACTTTTTCGTATATACAAAAGTAGAAATCAGTCAATAAATACAATACAATACAAAACACTTTATTGAACATCACAGAAAACATTACAATAAATACAGAGCCATTTAAATTAAGTGTTACAATGCGCGATGATAAAAGCGATCTCAATAGCGATCTTATATCTAAATAGATTCATTTCAGCCATGTTTATCCCAAAATAGCTATCATTTAAGGTTTTTTTGGCTGAGGCAAGTGTTTTTAATACTGTAAGTACATGAATGTATCTGTTTATGACTTTTAAATTCGAAATTCAATTCATGTTGTAATCGTATAAGTGTTATTTTATATTTTGAAATAAAAGAACTAAGCGTAAATTGTTCATAGTAATGAACAATTACGCTTTGTGCAGTACAGTATATAGTTAATATATTATGCAGTACATTAGTACTGCACCACATAGTATATTAGTATATAAAAAAATAAAAAAAGGAAACGTAGTGTCGTGGAACACTCGGTTGAAACGAAGTTAAAAATAAACAAGTCAATGTACACAATAACACACAATTCGATACAAAACAACTGACAGTAATGTATGACGGAAAAATCTTACACTTTTTTCGCCTATCCGTATCGTCGTAAAAGGCACTTCGTTCCAATAAATGACTAAAAACACTCAGTACTATCAGATTTCCTTATTTAGCCGCATACAAATAACTTTACTCAAATACCAGTGGGCTATAAAAACTCAATAAGGTAAAATTGAACGATGAAGGCGAATCGCGCTCGTGAAAAATCAACGTCAATAGCCTCGAAGCGACAATGGTTGATGATTTATTGGCCTTCCGATTCCGGCACCGGATGTGACGTGGCACCGGGCCACGCCGAAAAATATTCCCGACGATATGTTATGGCCCCGCAGGGAGGCCTACGATAGATACCTGTTTTATAGTATCAGATGGTAACCGAATAAAAACAAACTGCGAAACGTCAATGGTAAGTACTGATTATGAAACACTTAGGTATAGTATTTATTATAAAGGTCGCTTTTTATTCTACAAGCAATCAGAACTAAAAAAAAACAGATTAAAAAAAAATCTTCAATAAAATGAGTTACGTAATTTATTATCTGGCTATCGCAGTTTTCTGAAACATATAAAGCATTGAGTGTTTTGTCATATTATCTTTCAATTTGAAGTTTTGTCAAAATGGTAACAAAAAATTAACACCTCAGTAGGTGAGGTCACACGAAAGTGTTTTTGTTTCTTGAGTTTCCACGCACACCACTCATTAAATAAAACAATTTTTCTATGGGTCCAGAATGCGTTTTTATTACTTCCTTACACATCTCGACGTTTCGCATCATGAGTCGTATTCGCATATTCCTTGACGACGCATCCTGAAATGGACGCGAAACATCGAGTTGTATAAAGAAGTATTAAAAGCGCATTTTGGACCCGTTCGAAAATTTATTTAAAAGTTGATTTATTTAAAAGTAGTCAGACAAAATCATATCTTCACTTTTTAATTATTTTACTCTATTAGAATTCTAACATTTACATCTTTATTACAGAATTCCTAATACAGGCATTTTAAAAATGTTTTTAAGACCACTCTGCAACATTGTTGTTTATTAATATAACAATATTCAAAATATTCTACAAGTTTTGAAATAAATTAAGTCTGGTTGACAGCTTTTTAATCAGTATGTAGTAGTAGAATAGGTCATAGTTTTTTTTTAATTATAGACTTTAAGACTATTTTTTTTCGTTCGTTTATCAGGTAGATTATCAAAAAGTATTGGACACGTATTTTTTCTTTTTTCACATAACAGGTAAACATTGCAGAGATATATTGATTTGAAAAGTCGCATGACGTCACGTTTTGGTACAATTTTCAATTAAAAGTGACTTCACGAGCCCCTACTCCCAAACTTTGACGCGCTATAACTTTGTCATTTTTTGGTTGATTGCCCAAAGAAAAAATACGTGTCCATTATTATTTGATCATGTAACTGACGGACTAAATAGAATTTCGTTTACTGTACCCCGTCATCACCCCTATTCGGACGAACGGCTAAGTGTTAATGAAGAGTCGAGTACGCGCGCATATATGTTTTGGTTTTCCCCAATCTGGCATCACTTACGTATGTTCCAACTAGAACGAAGATGCAGGGTTGTTTACCCGTGTTCCAGTACCAGAAAGTAATGTTATTATTGCTTCGGGTGCCCGAAATCGAGTAATCGATTTCGGCATCCGAATACGGGCTACCAACCAATTGTTATTGTTGTGCCTTTGGGGAGGACTTTTGTGACAGACTGGTTAATAAATTGACGGAATGTAAAATACTAAAACACAATCGTACTGATTTAATACAGTTTAAAAGTTTTTTCATAATTTTTGTTTATAAATAATCTAACATTAAAACAACAAGTCACGGATGCGGGTTCAATAAGAGGATTCTAATAACGACAGTTATTAGATGAAAGTAAGTAGGTACTAGAATTATTTGATAAATCGAATTTTCACGAAAATCCTAAAGATTTTGTGAAAACGCGGATAATTAGACAATGGCAAAGACGTTTACTCTCGCTCGACTTGCGCGTCATGGTCACAACACTAACCTTACCTAACGTGAATCCAAAACCTAGAAAGAATATTTATAATAAGCCAACGATTCATTTCGCAATCTTACTGAGGCGACTCGCGTTTTCGTAAAATCCTATCTTCTTTCATGAAGTTTAAATATCCGCGTTTTCGCGAAACCCCTGATTTCGCGAAAATTAGATTTATCAAATCACCCTACTACATATCGCACCTCCGGTGCGACACTGTCACTTATGCAAAAACAATTTTTTTTCAGGATGAGCGTTTAAAACTTTAACATCCCAAAACATACAATATTTAAAGATTTTTACGTGATAAAAAGCTTATACAGCTTAGCTATTCATCTAAAAAAAAATTAAAAAAAACTTTAAATATTGTATGTTTTGGGATGTTGAAGTTTTAAACACTTGTCCTGAAAAAATGATTTTTTTGCATAAGTGCCAATGTCGCACCGGGGGTGCGATATGATATACGACAAAAGTAATGTTAATCAGTACCCAATAATGTTTTAAAATCGAATGTGAACCTCGCCAACATAAAACCTGTAAATAAGTGTGGGCCTGCAATTGTGGAAATTAAGCAACTTTTGCAATGGTCGGTCATTGGATGGGTGACCAAAAACTTTTACCTCGAACTCCTTTGTCCTTCAGAATTCCCGGCTGCATCTACAGTCGTTAGTAACCAACCAATCCGCACTGGGCTGCGTGGTGGGTCACAGCCCAATCTACCTTGTCTACCCATAGGGAAGGCCTGTGCCCCAGCAGCAGGGTCATTAATAGGCTGATGATGATGTCACAATACCACCATGTGTCATTTTACTGTTGTCGTCTGTAACGTGGTGGAGGATCCTTCTTTAAACGGGTACTTAGTTTCGGGCGGGAAATTCGCTTTATCCTACTTCTAGATAAACCTGCTATTGTATTCAATCGATTAATTTTAGTACAAGTAGCCAACACTTGTCTTGAGACTTGCCCAGCTTCCTAAACCACAGCGCGCGGCTGCGGGGCAGCGGCGGTGCACGATCGGGGACTACGACGAACGCGGCCCCACTTGTCTTCCACGAGCACACTGCAATACGACAATTATACACATAGTTTAACATTTTTTTTCTGTCAAATTAGGTTTACGTACTTATTGTATTTTACAACAACAGTAACCTATTATAAAATAATAACTTACAAGAAAATATTATACTTTCTACTTCTATTAGTATCTACGTCTTCTAGATAGACGCTCGTTACCTTGATGTAGTGTGAAGCTTTAACAACCATTTTAATAGGAAAATACTTTGAATCTGGTGAAAAAAAAATACTTACCATAATTATTCTATCATAGCATTGGTACTTGATATGTATTAAAGTAAATTCAAATGTCTATGTATCATTGAGTTGTTTGATCCAGTACTAAACCAGCCTGCACAAACGTCGGTTGTTTTATTGCTAACAAACTGCTCAAACAGTACTACATAAAAGTTTTTTGATCTCAGAAGAAAAACAAAAATTAAGTACAGCGTCTTTGAAAAAACTTACCTTTTCAAATTGGAAGAACAATTGAAAAGCGGAGTGATTAAGAAATAAACCTACCCTACCCGGAACTTCTAGTTACGGGTAAGTACCTACCTATGTCTCGCATAAACGCCTACTTTTTTGATACGGCAAAGCTTTGATATTCTTTGTGAGCGGGAGCAGGTAAGGCGCAAAAAGAGCTGCGATTATACGGTGCACAGAGTCAGGAAACGCGACTTACAAGCTACGCGCTGCGCTCCGTGAAAAGGAACTCGGCGATACAGAGAGCGGGAGGGGGGGATTTCTTTGTCACGTCAAGTACGTTCGTAAGTATTCTGAATGGCACCTCAACCTAGTGTAAAGCGGCCATTAGACGGTAGGTTTTGCTGGAAGTCAAGGATAGGATAATATAAGGGTAAATCAACTGATGGATATCTTGCCGTCTAATGGTATGACTGATAACTTTTTAGTAGGTATCCGTTTTTCATCATTCGTGTCTGATGGAATTGACTGACGTATGCTTGAGCGTCTAATGGACGTTTTAAGGAATGAAATATTGGTACCTAGTAAAGTATCTAGTAATGATAAATCCAGAAAAACGTAGTCATTCGTATTTTTAAAGCCAATGCAGATTAAATCCATTGCATAATGAAGAGAAACCTAATTAGCCGTACCCACTTATTCAGTGCCTACTAAGCAAAATTTCATCTGTGAGTCTGGAGTTTAACTGCTGAGAAGTGGTTATA